CTGCCTGATGTTATATGAGGTGTGACTCTACCCTCACAGTCCCCCCCCTACAATATCGATCTCTTAGCCTCTAGAGAGAGAAAAAAAGAAAAATAAAAAAAAAAAAAAAAAGAAGAAAGGACAAGATGAAGTCTGAATCCTCTTTTCTCTTTTTCAATGCATACATATATACATAATATGTATATATAAATAAGATCACGAAAACACAACTACTTTTAATAGAGATACTCTTAACAACGATTATATCGGTTGCCCGTGAAGTGAACATCTGCCAACCGCTCTCACCTGTGTGTTGGCGGATGTGGTTAACAAGGTGTTCCTTTCTGGTGAACGATTTGGAGCAGAAGCCGCATCGGTGTGGAGACTCACCCGTGTGCTGGCGAACGTGGTTCAGGAGGTGTTCCTTTCGCGTGAACGTCTTCGAGCAGAAGTCACAGCGGTGCGGCGTCTCGCCCGTATGCCACATTATGTGGTTCGTGAAGTGCTCCTTCCTCGTAAACGACTTACCTGCGCACGGCAGCGTTAAACAGAAAGAAAAGCACCGAGAACAGGCGCGTTTCATTAGATTGTCAGACACGCAGGGAGTTTTTTTTATATGATAGACGATAGACGCGTTGCAAATCGCGCGATTGGGACGATTCCAAGACACGGGGGGCTGTTCGCAATTAATCTTCCATTACTAATATAATTAATCACGCGCGAGGCGCGAGTGCTCATCGCGATCGTTACGGTTGATCTTCGCCGAATCACGCCGAGCCACATCCTTCGAAAGATGAAGCAAACATTACTTAAAATTACAAGTAAATTGCAAGGAAGTGCGAGGAGATCAGCGAGATCTCGACTGACGTTCCAAGCGGCTCGAGACTCTCCAGGGAACTTTTTCAGCAAGAGAGACATAGTTGACACAGTGCAACACAGTGAATTATTTCATCCTTGTTTAACATTCACAGCCAAACAACAAGGGTGGAAACGCTTGCTCTTGCTGGAAAACGCCCCGTATTTCACTCGCGTAAGATCCACAAATCTTGGAGGTCTTACACGGAAAAAACGATTTTGCACAAGTATACAAAAATTTAGCTATAGATACAGATTTAAAAATAATTTTGTTAAATTATCAAAATAATTATATAGGACTTTGCAGCATTATTGTCATGCTCGAACGTTTTACTATAATTATTTCGATGGCGCAACGAAATTATTTCCTAATCTGTATCTCTGAGCGTTGGAAAACGCCCCTGATTTCATTCGTCTAAGATCCATCGATCCGAAAGTCTCACACGGAAAGATGGTTCTGTTGAAGTATCTGAAAATTTAGCTAGGTAAGATCTGAAAATAATTTTGTTGGACTATAAAGATAATTTTGTAAGAGATAAATTTGTAGTTAAGATTGTAGTTAATTCTGTAGTTAGGATAAATTTGTAGGACACTGAAATTGACTGCTAGATTATCAAAACTTTTTGCAGCGCATTATCATTATACCTGAAGGGTACAATTGTTTTGGGCGACAAAATTATTTTCATATTAATATCCAGCAAAATTTTTAGACGCCAGTAAAACCATTCCTTTCCGTGCGGGAAATGCGCGCGCTAGAGGAACAAAATCGTGGTCGTGCGCGAGGTTTCTACCATTTCGAAAAACGAACGTCGGACCGCGGTCAACGCGCGCTTGTACGTATACACGTGTCACGTGACATGTATAGATCGGCGCGCATGCTTGCGACTCCGTAGAACGAAAATACAAATTTCGAATTTCGCCACACTTTGCGGACGCGAGATTTCCATCACTCGGCGTCGCGATAGCGCGAGGTGTAATCACCAACGAGCGTAATTAACACACGATGCGCAATTAACCAATCGCTGCCTTAACACAATCGACGATCCATGCGTATTTTGGAACATTACATTTTGCATCCAAATATCGAACTCTCCTCGACACTCGCGGGAAGAACGAATTAAATCGGGCTCCGCGCCGTGCGACGTCGAAGATTTTAATATTTTTTTTTCTCTCAGCAACACGATTAAACGATACACTTTGCGGACGACTATCGCGATTTTGGTTCGGACGAAGATAAAAAAATCGTATGAAGAGTTCCACGAGGACCAACGTCCTGGCGCCGCTTGGAAAACCGCGAGACGGCGATCTGCCGGCGGAATTAAATTCGACGCATCGCCGATAAAAATGGCACACGCAAAACGTGATCCGTATCGGGGAAACGACCCGGGAGGTCGATACGCGAGCGAATTGACTGATAAAACGCGGGGGGAGAGAGAGGCGGTAGGAAAAGACCTCGTACGAACCGCTTAAATTTACGAAATAGCAAGTCATGCCATCACAGTTCACGGCCAGACGTTGGGTGAGAAATGAAGGGCCCCCTTGTAGAAAGCCGGCTGGCGGGTTGGAGCCTCGCGCGACTCCCGAGGACTGAAGGAAGGAAGAAAGGGGTATCCCCCGTCGCCGTTGGGGCGATTGGGCGAGCGGGAGCGCGGGCGAGGGCAAGCGCACCGACGCGACGCGGCGCGACTCTCTCCTCCTAAGGTTTAGAGGGGCGCGCCTCCTCTCGCCTCCGCGCCATCGCGAAGGAATGCGCACGACCCGCGGGAGCCGGCCGGCCGACCGGGCGAGGAGGGGGCGGCTTACTCGCGATGCGCGATCAATTCTCGCGAATTTTATTTCACCGCCGCGGCACCGGCTGCGGCTGAACACATACACACACACACACACACACACACATACATACACATCCATGTGTGTGTGCACGTGCACGCGCACGTGTGTGTGTACGCGCGCACAGAGCGCGTTCGACGTAACTCCCGCGTCCGCGTCGCATCCGCTCGCGTTACCGAGCGCGTGCTCGATTTGAGAGAGAAAGAGAGAGATAGATACACTTGTCAAATCTCATCGATCGCGCGCATCTACGCCGACGCCGGTCCGCGACAGCGTCGATTTCTCTCCTTTTTTTTTGCTCTTGCGATTCGGGGAAATCGTTCGCTCGCGATAAGCTCAACGATCTCAGAGATGCACAACTCTCCTTTTGGTCCTCATTCGAAATCTCTTACATGCATGAATTATGAGATTCTTACTAAAATCGATACCTTAAATGTTGAAATTGATTTAGAAATTCTGTTGTCCAATTATAAAGACAAACTTTTTGTAATAGACACGAATCTATTAATAGATGCGTAAAATCGAAATTAATTTAATGCTTAATAGTAGAGATATTCGAGCAATGCAACAATTTCACAGTTATTAATATAATTTTTCTTTCAATCTGCATTAATTTATCAACCTTGGAATAAATTGTGCATCTCTATAACCGAATATTCTGTTTTATTATCTAATATTGATCAAGATAAATTCGCAAAAAAATATATATGCGGCAATAAAAGAAATCTCAGTACTTCGAAGCTTACAATGCGTTCTCTGAAAAAATGTACACACTGTATCAGTTTTTTCAACGCAAACGTAAATTGAGAAGCGTATACTTTTCATGTCTGTATGTAAAAATCATAATAAGCAATTTGTTATATTGAATCTAGTACATAGCATAAAAAGTTTAGAATTAGTGAATTTTTATTCCAGTTGCTTTTTAAACCCTAGAACTCCAAGTTTCCTGAAATAACATTAGGTGCATCAGAATTCGGCAAGTTTTACAAGATCGCAATTTTAACAATACTTTAACTCCACCAAATACAGTTAAACATTTCATGGTAAGAATAGATATTTCAAAAATTTGTAACAAATCGGAAAATAGCGGGAATTCGTTGTAGATTTCTAGGGTTGAATCAAAGCTTCTAATTAAATAATTTTCGCTTCAAGAATCTTTCTGTATTTACACTTGACTAATAATTGAAAATAGATTAATGATATAAATAGTATTTTGTCGGGTAATACATTAAATAATATCACATACTTACCTTGTTAATGCTTCAAATTTCACTAAATCTACATTGATCATATATCTCGGTATATTCGTCTTTCGTAATAAAGTATTTGGTGACAATCTATCGATAGTCATTACGGTAACACGCTTTTTATACTATAAAAAACAATTCACGATCTTTTATTTTATTATAAATCGCTAATTTTGACGTCAAATGCAAACGTGTTACCTTTATGGAGTGAAAATTAAGATGTAATCTGAATAGCTAAGAGTAAAGTCAACGTGACCTCAAACGCAGATATCTCTGCAATAATACACTCAAGTTTCATCAACAATGTTGAGAAATGTCGAATTCTTATTTGATTTTACTTTAACCGTGATACATGATGACTATAAAAATAACATCTGTATTTCGGTCAAAAAGGTGCTAAATAAGAATCGGAAAGAATCAAAATGTTACTTTCAACATCGTCAATGGTTTGAATGCGTATTATTGCATATATTTGCAATTGCTGACTCGTATTTTGTTGCCTTAATCAGTTTTTATTTTTATTTTTATTTCCTGAAATACCAATCAATTTTTTTCGATTTAGATTAAATATTGACCTCGCGGGAAGTTTAGAGAAAGACAATAATCGCGTCAATTCAGAAAGCTTCTGGAATCGTCCCATCAAATATCGTAATTTGTCTCGTTACTTATATCTTATACAATAAAAACTTGTTTGCGCGAATTAATTTTCGAACTTACGTTCATGATTATGGGCAGAAAAATATGAAGGACAGACCACTTACCGCATATTTCACAACGGAACGGCGTGTCGTTTGTGTGCGAGCGCATATGGTTAGCGAGATGCTCTTTGCGCGTATACTTCTTGCCGCAAGCTTGGCAATGATGAGGGGTTTCTCCTGTATGCCACATAACATGGTTCATAAAGTGTTCTTTGCGAGTAAAGCTCTTCTTGCAAATATCACATCGATGTGGAGTCTCACCAGTGTGTTTGCGAACGTGATTTACCATATGTTCTTTTCGGGTAAATGTCTTCGAACAGTATTGACATCTGCAAGAATCATGTCAGGATATTCCTTTCTGTTATCTCCAAAGCTGTACGACTTTTAATGATATCGGCATATAATTATTAATTTTATGCCGATTTTTGTTGAGAAGTTATTGTCATTTGCTACATTTATCGACTAGCTCATCAATCATCATACTTGGCACCTGGATAAATTTATATGAGTGAACAAAAAGGACCTACCTATATGGCGTCTCGCCAGTATGACATCGCGTGTGGTTATCCAAATGCTCTTTGCGCGCGAAACTCTTGCCGCAGACCGTGCAATTGTACGGTTTGTCGGTGGCATGTCTCTTCATATGACGTTCCAGCGAAGGCGCATTCGCAAAGACGTGAAAGCAAACGGTGCAGGTGAACATGGATCCTCCTAGATGACATTTGCCGTGACGTGTTAGATCGTTCGCATTTGAGAACGCTTTGCCGCATACCTGAAATCGTTACACATTCAATACCGATCTGTGTATTTCGAATGAATTGCTACACGCATAAAAGATTCGTCGCATTGATATACCTGACACGTGAATGGCTTTCTCTCGGTATGATATCTGCGATGTACAATAAGCTGATAACGAAACTGGAAGATCTTTCCGCATATCTCGCAAGCGTGGCTGCCAACCGACACGGGCGATGCGCTCGGGCCAGGCGTTGCTTCGCCGTCGCTCGACTTTATATCGAATTTGTTCAATTGGACCTGCTGCACGATTGGTGTGCCATTCTGTATCGTGGTAACTGTCTGTGTAGGCACAGTGCTGCCCACTAAAGTCGTTCCAGCTGCAATCTCGCTCTGCAGCTTTCCAAAAACCTCGTGATACGCCAAGAGTTGGTTAATATCTTCCACATTAACCTATCGAGCAGAAAAAAAACAAATGCAACATTCTTAATAATCTTAAATATAATTATTACGGTGATTTTCACGATATCGCGTACCTTGTACATATTTTGTACCATTTCAACGCCGAGAGTCTTGGCTAAATCTTGCTCGTTTCCTGCGCTGATTTTGACAACCGATCCGTCTGCTGTCCTCACGTCCATCATGTGTCCCCCTGGTTTCAAGTCAGGGACTTGAAATCTATAAAAATAGCAGTTATATATTTATCCAGCATCAATAACGACTAAAAAAGTTAAACGTCTTCGCACATACTGGGTCATATTCAGTTGTCGCAACTCCTTCTCTTTCTCGGGTTTCTCGGAGTTGTTCTGGCTTCCTCCCTCGGTAGTGGAGTTACCGCTGATGTTGACCCCGATCTGTTGCTGCTGCTGTTGTTGCTGCTGCTGCTGTTGCATCAAGCTCTGTTGAAGATCTTGGGGTGGTTGTAATTGCAGATCGCATTGAACTTGACAATGAACCTGATTGTCGCTGCAACGCTCGGTGGTGCAACTACCGCCCTCGTCCTTGACTTTGTTGTCGTCTCGCTGCGCGTTCTGGCTATGCGCCGTTGGCCCATTGTTCTGAGCGTTCTGATGATTCGGCATCTGATGATGAGACTGCTGCTGCTGTTGCTGCGGCTGCTGCTGTTGCTGCTGATGCAGCTGCTGCTGTGCTTGCGCCTGCATTTGTTGTTGCATTTGTGCATGTGCAGCCAGATGACTGACACTCGCTGGTAAATGTGCGCCGTCTAAATTAAGGCCAGGAAGAGATACAGGAATCTGCGAAACATACATAAAGAGGCCTATGTAATACAACGTAATATTTAAAAAATATATATTTGCAGTTATATATAATTATATGATACACTTTGCTTGTGCGATTAGGAATTAACAGTTTTAAATAAACAGTTCATTTAAATAAACAGTTCATCAGGATTAAACTTGTTCGGCTTTTTTTGATATATTAAAATACATAATCTATCGAGCATTCTTCATTAGAAAGGTCTAAATAATTTGCGCACGCAAAACATACTATATGGAACAAGTAGAATAATAACTAATATTCAAAAAGTAGTTTTTGTATGTGATGTGACAAAACTAGACAAAATGGAATATGTATAGGAATATAACAAAATAAAGTTCTTTGTAAAATTACGAGAAAAATCGAAATTTAAGTGAAATATGAAGTGCCAATAATCGAGCGCTTTTCAATCGTTACAGTTGCCTATAATTATGCACCTACATGTGCAGCGTCACGCATCCCCATAAAAAAAAGAGGTGCGTGTTACCGCAACTCCTGCAAAAGCGTAAATAATCTAACTACTCCAGGTCGGAGTAATCTGTAAGCCGCATTCAGTCATTGTTGTCGTTACACAAAACACGTGCCGCTACACATTAACAAACCTGTGGATTCGACTGCAGGGAACTGTGGTGGCTGCTGCTGCTGCTAACTGAAGGCTGATGATGATGATGCGCGGCTGTTGACTGTTGCTGATGATGCGAGCTGGAAGTCAACGCCATTTCCTGGTTCAGTGAAGAGGCTGGCTCTTTGGAGGATGATGCCTCCCCACCGCCACCACTCCTATGCGAGGAGTTGTGGTGGGAATGGTGGTAGACCGAGACTTGAGGTAGCGGTCCGGGAGGAAACAGATTGGTGAGGACCCAATACTTAGCTACCGAGGAGGCTACCGAGGAGGCTAACGCTACGGCAGTACCTACACGCAGGTCCGCGGATGAATGGGGAGTACTCCCTACATTGCCAAGACTCGCGGTCGCAGTAGCCAAACCACCTGGGTATGAAGGACGACCACTTTGACCCGCGTTTACATCCTACCGATATACATTCAGACATTTGTACAACATTGATAGGGCATGCAGCGGCATGCACCAGGCTGAAATCCAATCGACAAATGCGCCACTTTTGATCGTGTCTCTCTCGCTCTCTCCCTCCCTCTCTCTCTCTCTCTTTCTCTCCCTCTCTTTCTCTCTCTAGCACGACATGAAGGATTCCACGGATATTCGTTATCGAAGAACTTGATCTACCGGAGATAGTGGTGTTTCTGTGTTATATACAGAATGTGAACCTCGAGGAAAACGCTCTATATCCACACCTGTGTCGGGCCGTACGAAGTGATCGTAAAGGGGCACTCGGTTTTCAAACTTAAGTACATGCAATCTGTTAGAACTCGATACGTTAAGATATTACGTACGAAGAAAACGGGAGAAAAGCAATGTATTAGAGTTACGAAGAGTAAAGAAGAGTAGAGAAGAAAGCGTAAGCCGTCTTGTATATGGATATATGTACGCTACAAGCATTTCTAATCTAAGAGCTATAGATCACAGCAGTTTGACTCGTGTAGCCGCGCAAAAGTAAAAAATATATATACTCTAGAGGCATTTATCGTAGGATAAGATAATTGAGAGCAACAAAACGTAAAACGTTGAAAAACGTTGCGTTGAAAATAATAACCAATAACGTAGTGTGCGAGCTTTACAAAAAAAGTTCTGTAAAATCAAGAAATCTACGCTCTGGCACGGGGGCCGCAAATTCGTTTCATAGCAGACTGAAAGTGAAACAATCCGTAAATCAACAAAGCTCCATTATACAAATGTCTCAACATATCTAACGTCAACATGGTGCATCTGTGTAATCGTCATTTGCGCATTTGTAGTTTGGTGTATAGCCTGTTTTGCGACTTGGAAGGTACCTCACCTCTTGTTGTGCCTGCGTAGTCGCTGGCAATGCATGCTGCTCACTATTCATCTTCGCTCACTGAAGAATATTAATTAAACGTGTCTGACATACTTCATTTCTCATCCTGCAAAATGCATTATGTAAGGATTAATCTCGGGATCGTTTTGCATCTGAGAAAATAATGACTAGCGCGGGGAACGGGAATTCAACGTGAATGCGAGTTCACTCGAGGTTGAAGGAACCGATCGGCGACCTTTAACACAGGCTTTGATTGGCGTGCGAAAGTGGCGTGCGCGCGCTAATTAGGCAAATAATGCGCAACGGCAGGCGTATTGAGTATTGTAACGACTATTTCTCGCGCGATATCGATTCGCAACGATATCTAAGTGCGCACCATATTGCTAGATCGCGGGACGATGTCTCGGTGCTCCCGATATAATCCGCGGCTCTCGGATACTCCGAGCGAGCGTACGTCCGAGAGAGCGTGGATTTCGGCGCGGTCGGCCGTCGCGCCATTCGAGAACCGTTCGCGAAAAACGTGCTTATCGTCTCCGTTTAACCTCGAAAAGTCCAGCACCGTGCCACGGAGGCGACGGGCGACGGGCGGCGGGCGAGCGGTCGCGCGTAATCGCGCCCGAGTCCGCGTAAACATTCGGCGCGAGAAGCGGGAAGAAGGCGCCATTCGCGCCGATGACGACGACGACGATGACGAGCGGGAAGGAACGTCGCCGCCGCCGCCGCCGCGTCGATATACGCGATCTCACGATTTTAACCTCGCGCGGCGCTATTCTCCGCTCGAGAGACTCGTCGCGACGGTCGCGAGCGGGAAAGGGTGAGTCATCCTCCGCTATACGACTGCTACGCGCCATGCCGTGCTGCGCGCTGCGTCGCGCGACGCGACGACATGAAAAGACTTCGAGGGGTCCCTTTTTTCCTTCGTCCCGCTTCCGCGCCCTTTTTCTCTCCCGCGGTTAGAATAAAATTGTGCCCGATATCGCCGCGGGCGCGAGCGCGAGGGCGAAGAGACGGGACGCGGGTCGCGGAAGGCGCGGGATCGGGAACGGGACCGTGGGTCTCGGTAATGGCGCGGGGCTGCGACGGAGAAACGGAGAGGCGAGCGCGCGTATCCAGCGGCCAGCGGGGCGCGCGCGGGCAGGACCAGCGGGACGGCGACGCCGCGTCGCCCGATTTCGCGGCGCAACGTCATCGTCATCGGAACGCCGTCAGCCTGGCCGGCTGGCCTCGCTCGCCTCGTTTCGCTCCTTCGTGTCCGCGGACAAGCGACAAGCAACGAAGCAACGGGGACAAGGGGCCGCGGCACAAGATGGACGGCGCTTACGCGGACTCGGGGCGAGGGGGATTATGGACGCGCGGTGTGGCGCGGAGCCGCGAGGGCCGCGGCGCAACGCGGCCGCGGCCCCGAGCTCCCCCGGGTCTCCGGAACGGATATACGCGGGCTTGGGGTTGGAAACTCACGTGGTGCGCGGTGCCGTCGGCGGTTCTCGCATCTCGGTTCTCCGTGGTTCTCCGTCGGCTCCGGGGGCCGCCTCCTCCTCGCCTCCTCTGGCACAAACACACACGCGCGGCACGGGGGAGAGACGCGCGCCCGTCCTCCCGAAACAGGGAACGCGCGGGGAGAGGCACGGCACGCGGAGGGGAGGGACGCGGGGGGGAGATGGCGAGATGGTCGTCGTCACCGGTCACCGGGGGGAGGGGGAGACCCGCACCGCGCACGGGCCGCCTGCCGCGCCACGCCGCGGCTCGGCTCCTGTCCGCCGCCTCTCTTGACGTCTCACCTCGCCACTGGCGCCCACAAACAAATCCCGAATAATGGCTACGCGTCCTCGGTACCGTCTTCCCCGACACTCCCGACAGCCGCGACGGGCAGCCCGACGAGGCCGGGACGCGGGACCGTCGCTCTCGGTCGCGACGGATGCCAAGTCGCGCGAGAATTTTACGGGAAACGTCGCCGGCGAGGCCTACGTGTGCTCGCGGTTTACAGAAAATACGACAACTGTCATGGCGGCCCCTCGCCCACCCCGCAGGAACTTACGCGCGCGGGGCATTGTCGAGGCGCGGGTCGCGCGGGACAGGTCGGTCGGCCGGCTTTCGCCCGGCGGGAGGGACTGGGGGGACTTGGCGATGTCGAAAAATTAATTATGCGACCTGTTTTGCGACGAAATGTCGCGCGTTTGTTTGAATTCCTTCGAGGAAACGCGCATGCTGGCCCCCCTCTCGTCCCGCCGTGGCTGCGCGCGCAGTCCGCGATTGCGCGCGCGAATTGCGCACTTCCGGTGGCGGGAATACCGCGCGTATTACGAAAACGCGTGAAATCTCGTTGGTTCGTTATGCTTGTATCACACTACGGATTCGGATTGAGATTGCATTGAAATTTAATCAATAGGAATAAAGAAAATTAATTTGACGTTTAGGAAATTGCTCTGATTCAAATTTCAATTCAAACTCGATCTTAATCCGTAGTCTGGTTTATACGGAATACGGACTTTGAATGATAGAATGATATGACATAAGAAATTCTTATATCTGTCATATCATTCTTTGATATTAAATTTTGGTACTCTGATATTTTGTTTCGTGGTGTTAACAGAAAGAAGAATGGAAAAAAGGAGACAAAGCCTGAAATATCAAGTACACTTTGTCGATCTTAAAAATTTAGATTTTCACGATTCGAGATAACAAACGTAAGATCTTAGAAAGTCTCGAAATTGCATTTTTTGAAATTTTTATAAAATTCTCTATTTTATAATAGCGTCTTCTTATTAATTTTACTGATATTTTGTTATCGATTTTCGATACTCTTGATTTTCGTGACTCAACATCCCCAATTATTAGAAAACGCTATTAGAAAATTCTTGGAAATATGTAAGCAATTCTTGCAATTTTAGATAGTACAGTCTTCTTGCTTATTATATTTTCCGTTCTTTGTCAATTATTCAGACTTTTGATTTTCGCGATTCGATATCCTGAATTCCTAGAATTGCAGTTCTTTTAGAAGGCTCTTAGAATGTCTACAAATCGGAAAATTTTTAGGCTTTTTAGTAGTGCGACCTCTTGCCTGATTATATGCTCCTGATACTTTTAAGATATTGAATTTTTGTCGGTAATTATATAGATATATATAATTGGTATACATAATTACAAACGGTCGGTAAAGGAACTAATAATTTTACTGATTGACGATAATCATTGTGATTCTTAGTTACGGATAAGAATTTTAATTCTTAGATTTTCCAAGTATCAGAAAAATATAATTAGGCAAGAGATTACGCTAAATAAAATTTCAAAAAAAATTTACAACTTACATATTTAAAAATTTAAATTAAGAATCAGAACTTTTAAAAGTTGGCAAACCGTTAAAAGTATACATATACGTAATAAAGTGAAAGAGATAGTAATTCTAAGAAACATAATTGCAAGAATTTTAAATCTGAATTTTAAGTCTTGGAATCGTAAAAATATAAATTCTTAAAAAATAACTTTAAGAATATATAATAAGATAAGAAGTCGCTGAGAGACAGAAAGAGAGAAAGGAATTCTAAAAATTATGATTACAAAAATTCGAAAAATTTTAATTTAATGAAATTGAGGGTTCGCAAATGTGGCGAATCTAAACTCTCAAACATTGGCAAAGAATATATATGTATATTTGATACTTTCTTATATTTATTACTAAAATATTAATCAATATTTACATCAATTTGTACAAGTGACCACTTTGGTCATACGTATATATAATGACACGTTCAACTCAATAGTGTGTGTAGCGTATATATGTGTGTTCGTTCATATATAAATAAAATTGTAACTGTAAAATTCGCTTTTCCCCACTTTGTCGTCATGTTTGTCGTCGCTACACAGCATCCACTCGGCAACCCGAGTGAAATGTGACGAGTTCTTAAAACGCAGTTTATAACGAACATTATAGTGCGCATTGTCGGAAATCACATGACACTGTGATCAGTTCCATTTTCATTGATTGCATACAAATTTGTACAATTACAAATTAGTCACGAGAACAAAATCGAATGAGTCGTTGTAGTCAAATAGGTAAATGCAGGCGTAAAGCAAGCAAATAAATATGAAAATCGCAAAGATGCGCTTTTCGAATGAACAAACGGAAACGTTGACTAGTACACTATATAATATACAATGATTGTTATTAGACGTGTACAATGCAGAGGAATTGAATAAAGACCAATCTATATTTATATAAAACTCTTACAATTTGGTATCATTGTATCTTTTCTATTGCACAGTGTACTTGAATATATACAAATTAAAGGTATAATTTTTTGTAAAATAACTCAATATTTAGAACATAAATACAATTTTGTAGAAATCCAACGAGATTTTATGAAAATGTATCATTAATACTCAACATTTCACGTGAGATCGTCCTAAAGAAATAAAATGAAGACCTGTGGGCCTATTCTGTAACTCTTAACGACAGTTTCGTTATCGTTATATTGTCGTTGCGCAGGTTTTTTACTATACATAATATCTGCACAACGCAAGTATAACGATAACGAAACTGTCGTTAAGAGTTACGGAATAGGCCCACTGGAGTTTACTCCTGGATTTTACAGATGGCAAATCCTTTATATGGTTATTTCTTCCACAGTGGTGTGATGAGAGTTCTTCGTACATTTAACGATATTTATCTGTGTCTCAATATTGACCATGGAATAATTTATTACTCATATACTTCCTAGTTATCGATATTACCGATAATATCGATAATTAGGAAATATATGCCGATTATTGAGTATAAACTGTCCAGATGTAATAGGTATTATTATTTCGTACGATATTTTTTCACGAGTAAGACAACTGACAAATATCGTAACACTATTACAGGATTGTCAAAAAATTGTTGAAAAAAAGAAAGTCGAAATCGATTGTCTAAACGACGACATTTGGAACATGCGAGCATTCGTAACCACCCCTATACAAGTCTTGTTTGAATATGTATCACTACCAGTCGATATTACAATTCCGTGGTGATTTCGTCCTGTGGTCGAAAACCAAGAATCGTGAAGTCGTCGATGAGATAGTCGCGAGCGGGCGACCAGTCTGACAAAATGGTGTAATTGGCCGCCTCTACGGGGCTGCTCTGAAACTTCCATTGGGGATTCAAGTCGCGGTCCAGGCCGTCGTTCACCTCGCACTCGTCGTGCAACGCACGGATGCTGTTGGTCTCCAAGGGTAGCGCGCCACCATTGTAACTGCGATTAAACGCAGAGATCGTCTGCAGTTCCTGAAGATGCAAGTCACTCGTCGTCCTCGATCCTCCTCGCTTCAGGTTACTACCGTAGACGAGGGGTGTCGTTTGGCCGATTGTCGAGCCGTTCGGGCTGAGCTTCTCGCTGTTGTAAACGCCAGAAGCGCTGTTCTGACCCAGACTCGAGCCGAGGGGACTGCAGTCCTTCGTGTAGCCGAGGCTCGAACTCGCCGGACTGATGCTCGACTTGTCGCTAGCTTGAAACGTCGCGAGCGGCACGTTCGCTTGGAATGTGGTGAGATTAGTGGGGGTGCTTCGCGGCTCGTACACGGGCTGATGAGGCGGCGGTTGCGACGCCGCGATCGGTTGCGCCGGTGACGCGGTCATTTGGACGGGGTTGCTCGTCGGCTGCTGCAGGAACGTCACGAGCTGAGCCACCTTGAAGTTATAAAACGACGATAAATATTACACGACTCTGAACGTTGTTTCATACATGTTTTATGCAAAGAAAACAGCCTGCCGTTCAGAGGAAGAAGGGAGCTTTTACGCGGGGAAACATTCTCGTCTAACGCTACACTTCTCGCATACAGCTGGGTATGTGACTCACCAAAGTGCTTTAGGGACTGGCGTGAAAAAGAATTGAAAGTGTGAGATAATATCGGTAGTGCTCGTTTTCGTTTCACGCAGAAATATTCGCGAGAATAACGATCTTACTTCTGGAGAACTGTGCCTTTTGTATCTTCTCAGCAGCCGCTCTGCCCACGAGAATAATCGTTGCCAATCGTCGGGCGGAAGTGGTATCTCATCATCTCTCCTATTCACGAGGACCAATATCCTCGCTAGGTCACGTAGCACTGGTCTGCAACAATATTAATGAAGATTAATAGGGGTATACGCACGTCGTATACACAATTTTTTATTAAAAAGATATTCAAGAGTTTTATTAGAAAAATGACAGCATTTCTCTTTTTCTCAATTTTTTCTTTAAGACGATCCAACATAAAATGTTAAGTATTAATGATACATTTTTATCAAATTATACAAGCCACTATCGAGTATACTTTTCCAGAATATTTCATTTAACGCGCGACAGATTAATTTCTGCCGCAATGATTCAACGGAGTAACATATTAGAAAAAAATACTCGATGACCCGATTTCTCTACTGCGCTTGTACCTGTAGGCCTGAATTCCGACGGCACCGTCTCCGTTACCTCCCGAATAGTACAACTCTCGAACCTGTCTTCTGGTGTCGTTGAGCATAGCGAGGAAAGTATTGGCCTCTCCACGGAGCGTCGCCAGGTGTTTCAGAAACTCTCTCCTCTCCGCGCTGAAATGCACGAGAAACGCTCTCAATAAATGTCGCCGTAGGACAGAGCGACCAGAGTGACGAAAAAATCATGAAAAGTACCTGTCTTCGAACTGCTGGGCCAGCTTCGCCGCCTTCTTCTTACGCCGATGCACAACTATCGCGCCGCAGAGGATGATGAAGATGCAGATGGTAGCGCCGGAGACCACCCCCACCAGAATCGCAACCTGGCTACCGGTGAGGCCGAACATGTAGCCGGTCTCCCGGCAGATGCGGCCCATGTATTCGTCCCGGGTGGACCAGTCGGCGACGAAGCCCGGTGGGCAGGTATGCACGCAGGTACCCTGATACAGCAGCACGGCGCATCTGGCGCACGTCCCGTCCCTGCATCTCTTGCATCCCGTCTCGGACTCGATGCATTCTCCAGCTGCAATTGGTGAAACGCAATCTTTTATTAATCGAATCGAAACAGGGAGCTTTCGAGGAACGTGTGAAGAATTGTTCTTTAAAAATAGCTTAGAGAGATGTCGAACGAGAATATTGATCTCCTCCACGAGGAATTTCGCCGCGCTTTCCGAACCGCGTGCTCGAAATTGCTCGATTTGTCTAAACTTCTCGGAGCTCCTGTTGACGTTAACGATCGCCAAACTTGGGTCGGAATCTCACGGTGTAAACTGTAAACTTTAGAGTTTTACTCTCCGGCAGTCGCTCTCGGCGGTGGAAGTTTGCGCCGCATACAACGGAGTTGACAGTGTCTTTCAACGCAAACGGATCTACCTGCGAGCGAAGTCTCTCCGGGAACGATATTCTTATATATCCTAGCTAAACTTTCGAGCGTATACTTGGCCTTAGCAAAGGTCGGTGCACTCGGCAACTTTGACCGACGTACCCTGCCACTCTCACGATAGGTCATTGCCAGAGAAAAAAAAGAGTTCCGCGATCGCCTAACATTCCCATTTGCGACCGTTTTCATTTCGTTTAGTACATAACGGCGTGAGATGCAGACGTGGATCGAAGTGTGAGTGGCGTCGTAGCTACTCTGTTTGCGGGCAAACGTGCCTTACACTTATGCCATTTCCTATCCCTTCTACGTGTGACCTTCTAGCGCCGTAACACCTTCCGATGTTTCTATAAGTATATTGCAGTTGCTTCGCGAGTTGCAAGGCAAATTAAATATACAGGATGTTCGAGACCTAGAGAGAATCACTTTTTACCCGTGGATTTTCTTCGGCCAATTTGGAGCCGACTTTTCTTTAGCAGAAACGTCGCATTCAGGAATGCATAGAGCGTTACGATTCAAATGATTACTGGAGTCGTGAATAATGCAACACGCGATGGTTTGTAAACAGGAAAATCTTTCGGCCGGGGAGTAATAAAATTCTCTAAAAGTATCTAGGTGGTGCAGCTACGCGTTATGTGTGTCAAGCATTTGGGCCACTGCTCGGGGCTGTGGATCATCGACCGCGACGGAAATTCGATTCGCACATTACTTTCCTCGTATTCCCCGCGGCACTCGATCGGCGCAATTACGTTTTTATTTTAACATCTCCATTCTTCCTCTTTCTCGATGGAATTCTGTTATTTTTCCTGGATATCGTTCTCCAGGCATCGCCATCTTTTAATATCGTTTATTCGTTTACACTACTCTCTTGAAGAAAGATACTCCTCGATATTTTCAATACTTTTTAACAAACATCTTCATCGCGGCATATTGCGAGACTCTTTCATATAATCTCGTATTTTTTCCTCTCGGCCCGGCTCGTTCCGTTTCTCTTTCTAGTTACTTCTTTGATATTATTTTAATATCTTTGCTCCTCCTTTTTTTAACTCAAATTCTGCTATTTTTGCTGAATATCGTTTTAAGCGTTATTATCTTCTGGCAATAAGTATCGTTTACACTGCTCTTGAAGAGAGATACACTTCACAGTATCCTCGATATTTTTAATACTTTTCAACATCTTCATCGCGGCATATTGCGAGACACTCGTTCGTAATCTCACTGGCACTGGTGTATTTTCTCCTCTCGGCCCGACTTGTTCCCTTTCTCTTTCTAATTACTTCTTTGATATTAGGTATTTTAATATCTTTGTTTCACCTTTTTCTCGCTGGAATTCTGCTATTTTTCCTGGACATCGTTTTAGACGTTGCTATCTTCTAAGTATCGTTTATTATACATTGCTTCTGAAGAAAGATATACTTCGCAGTATTCTCGCGATATTTTTAATACGCTTTTCAACAACATCTTTATCGCGGCATATTGCGGGACGCTCATTCGTAATCACGCTGGCGTATCTTCTCCTCTCCCGGACGTATGCGTCTCTCTCGTTCCCTTTCTCTTCCTAGTTGCATCTCCTCCTCTATGCTCGGTGACCAGATATACATCACGCGGGGTCACGCAAGAGTGCCGGATGGACAGCGAGCGAGAAAATTGAAAGACCTCGTGCTTGCACAAGGGGGAGAGACCGCGGTCCATTAGTACGTGTATGAGGAATGCGGTTGCTGGTTTCTCGATTATGTGGGTCTATAAACGCGCGCGCACCCGCTCCGTGCACTTCGAGACGACCGCGGCACACGACCGCGCGCGGCCGGTCATACACATTCTCCAAGTTGAGAACACTAGGTCGGAGCCCCGCTGAGTCCCCTTCTCCGACGTGGCGTGCTCTATGAAAAAATCACGGGGTCGCCTATTTATTTTACCGTCAATATCGTACGACTCCCTCGACGACGAATGACGGGGAATACTTCTGGACGCGCGATTCCCTCCGGGGAATCGACTTTCTATGCGCTTTTCTCGCCGCGCCGAGCTGACAGATGGTTCAGCTCTTCGGAAAATGTGCCGGACGGACGATTCGTCGACGAAAGCACTGCTTTCAGAGGATCTTACGATCGCAAGAAGAAATTACGTTCTATTATTGAATGACTATTATTCGCGTTAACAACGATCGATTTCTATCTCGCGCTATCTCGATGGAAAGTACTGCCGATAATTTAATATTATTTAATGGAAAGTCATGCGTGACGTAGTTTTGAAAGTTCGCTGATAAATAGTTCGGGACGAGGAAAAAACGGATATTTGCGTTACTCGAACAAGTCGATAAACTGGAACTGTAAAATATTAAAGAGTGAAATTTTAACCAATATCAATACCTCGAAATTGAATAACATTTTGTTATTTTTACCTTGTGTGTCGAAATTTGTTATTTTAACACAAAAGAGTATTATTTTAACTTCATTGGTTTAATTAACGATATATTTTTTGAACAAACACAATGGTGACCTATAGGAATAATTAAGAATAACTCGAATTGAATATAATTTGATGCTACAAATTTAACAGTGAAAGATTAACGTAAAATAAAAATATCACGATAACAAAAATGCGATCGCAGAAGAAATTCATATTTTTAAAGATTATTTCAATTCCAAATTTAAAATTAATCGCGCTACATTCTCGTGTGGTTTTTCAAATCGGTCTCCATCGATAAACGCCTTTCCGTGATGTCCATCTGCGCGTCGTCGGGAAGCTGTTAGTCGGTTTACGATCGTTGAGTTTTAATTAGATAATTAAAGGTCGAGGAGAGAAGTCGCCGCTTCGAACGGCCTACGCGATCGAATCGGCGCAATTTTCCATCTTCCCGCGGACAAGTCTTTCCCGTCGTTTTTTTTTTTACCCGGGAAAGCCCCGAGAAGGAAAAACCGTCTCGTTTGTTAGTAGACCGTAATATCGAGAATTTTATTCAGCACGAAACTTGATAATTTCACGAGATGTAACGAACAGCCGTTTACAAAGGAACTCGAGGATGTTTGCAGCCGTGGAGCTGCTGCACGTATGCACTCGTTTTCGTTATTAATTAGTGTAGTTAACTAGACCGTCCATTGTCTACCGCTGACGTTTCTTACACTTAATAACTCATATGTCTGGAGTTCTGGAGTAATCTTTGATATTATGTCGCGTCAAGGCACACATGGCTATGTGTGCCGACTTTCCAGTATAATTCAACTCGTTTCCTATGCAACCGAGATATTTTCTTAAAACGTAGAATCAGTTTCATCATATACGTTATAATCCTTCATACAATGTAATTTAACGCGCGTCCTTTGTATTAGATACAAAAAAATAACACTGATCAGTATTACATCATACAACTTAAACGAGAGAGATGAGCTTCAATTGCGATCGAGTTTACGATATCTAACGTAGAAACGGTGAAGATATTCAATATCGTTATTGAACGCCAAGCCGAGTCGACTAAAGTGGGTCTCTCTCGCCCGTCCTGTCGCATCGTCAGCTTCGTTTTTCGCTACGCCTTTTCTATAATACTAACCCACATCTACGCATCGGCGGAGAGACAAGCTTTCCAGCTCGCGTGCGTAGCGTCGATTCACTTCGGTATTTAACGATCGTCGTAAACGTCGTCGCCGAATTACGGAGGATTGATAAATTCACACGGTCGTGTCCCATAGAGAATCCCGGGGCATGGACTCTTTTCGGGCGCACAGCACACACGAGGCTCGTGTGTCAGTCGCCCGTATGCGCTCCGGTACGCGCGAGAGTACAGTTACTCGCGTCCGCGACGCACGCACGTGTGCGGTGTACGCGCGTCCGACGCGCGACAGCCGGAGAGACGGGACTTTAAGTATCGCGCAAGTAGGTGCGAACCTGATCGAGTAGTTTCGAACTTTATTTTTATTTTTATATGTACGATTGCATCGTGAGACGAAGCGAAGCGGTGCGTTCAAATGGAATCGAACCTGAGCACGTATTATGGAACTTTGGTAAATGAATTCCAATCGGAATTGTTTAGTTACTTTCTATTAGATTTCTATTGTGTTTTCTAGGGCAAGCGGAATAATTCTGGTCGAAATCCATTCCGAAGTTCCATAATACGTGCCCTGAAGAATGAAGAAGTTGGAAGTTCGAATCTTTTGTAGGGTACTTAAAGAAACGAAGGCGACGGCCCTAAATGCTCCGAGACCTAAAGGCTCCCGTTTCTAGGCTAGAATCTCCTGACAATGCGTTACCGTATTGTCATATGTCGATGACTTCCTGTTCATTATTGTTGCAGGCTTCCCATAAAATCGTCGTGCTTCTTTGACTCGCGAAAGATTCTTCTTGAAATCGTGATGCCTGGGTTTCGATGTTTTATTAAAGAACTTGTTTAGTCCAAGTATTTCAAAAGTACAAATGTAGTAATGACTTTCATGATATTTTTACGACATACGTAAATTTCACGAAGCAAGACCTGGATAATTGGAGTGGACTTATACGAGATAACAAAATCTAATAAAGAGATATTCTTTTATATTATGATTTCATTATTATGTCTTTCTTTAAACTTGTTATTTATTGTTACGGTGTTTAATATTAAATTGTCCGACATGATCTACGTTTTCCAAAATTATCACATAATTAATTCTTCGATTAAA